CCAGATGTATTAAATCAGAGCTTTCCATGTGTGACCCAGGGAAGTAGGTTTTCAGAAGCACTGACAAGTTTTGGAATAGGCCAGATAAATAAACTGAATAGCTAGACTTTTGGGAAACATACGTTAAGTCATATAACTAATTGGTATTTTCTTGTTTATTTTAGAATTTTTATGATTTTTGTTCTTTTTCACATGAATCACATTTTTTTTTCTTATATCAGTAGCTACATATTTTACATAGCAAAGTTTTGTTTTCAAAATATTGTAGAATCTCTGGTTAAGAAGGGACCTTAGTGGTCGTGATCAAACCTCCACTGAATGCTAAAATTCCCCCTGCCAGATCCCTCTCAAGTCATCCTGTCTCTGATTGAGCAAGAGTTCCAGGGTAAACTTACTTTTGTGAAATAATTCATTATGTTTTTCTATGGTTGTGTTGGACAGTTCTTCCTTATATGAAACCGAAGTCTATTCCCATCTACCTTCCTCTCTTAGTTCCACCCTCCAAGCCTACTAATACCAGTATCTTTTTCACATCTCTTCAATTTAACCTATCAAGAGTTTGGAGATAGACATCCAGTTTCCCCTAAGTCTTCTCTAGGTTAAACTTTTCCAATTCCTTTAACTGCTGATCCTGTGATTGGATACATGCTTTTGAGTAACCCACATGATAGAAACTCCCTCCAGCACACGCTCTGTTTCTCAGAGTCCCTTGGAAAGCACTACAGGAGCCTCACCATGAAAGAGTGGAAAGTGGGGCCATGAGCATCCTCATCCTGATACTATACTGTGGTTCATGCATCCTACCATCACCTGATTCTTCATATAATTCATATGATTCCTTAGTCTCTTCATCAAAAACAATAAAGCACTGGGCCGGCCGAGTGGCTCAGTTGGTTAAGAGCTCGCTCAAGAGTGTGAACTCTGAGTAACAGTGGTTCAATGCCTGGCCCGAGCTTAGCTGCCGCTGACCTGCCAATAGGAGGCAGGTTGGCTCAGCTAATAAAAAAATAAATAAATAAATAAAATTAGAAGGGCCGGCCGAGTGGCTCAGTTGGTTAAGAGCTCACTCAAGAGTGCGAACCCTGAGCAACAGGGTCACCGGTTCGATTCCCGACCCAAGCTGAGCTGCCAACAGGTGGCAGGATGGCTCAGCTAAAAACAAACAAACAAACAAAAAACAATAAAGCACTGTGTCCTGCAGCCTGAGCACCTTTTCCTGGAACAAAGTGGAAGACTTCTCTGTCAGCTCTGTTAAATTTTATCACATTAGGATCTGCTCATCATTCCAATCTGTGGAAATTATCTGAGCTCTAGACTCATTCATCTCATATATCAGTTTCACAGTATCAGCAGTTAATATCTCCCTGTTCTTATCCTGTAAATTAATATAAATCAGAAGAGATTGGTCCAAGAATATCAATCCATTAGTCAAAGCTCTTTGGGTAGAGTTCACTGAATTATTATCATCTAGCTCACACTGTTCATGAAATAGGATAAGAAAGACTTTTTTAAATGCTTGTCTGAATAGCCCCACCATGTTTCTGATCTATCAGTTGTTGACCAAATTAAAAAGGAAGTGAGGATAAGCAGGCATGATTTACTCCTAGCAAAGCCTTACTGGCTCCTAGTGCCTGAGTCCTTTCCCTATTGCTCAAAAATTATCTTTTTAATTACTAGTTTTGCTATCAATATCAAATGACCAGCAATATCAAACTCATTACTCTGTGAGTAAATGAGATAATGTATCTAGCCTTATGCCTTGCATATTGAAGCTCTTGATATGCTTCTGGAAAGCAGCTTGACATAGTAAGAAAAATACAATTTTTTTTTTTTTTGGCATCACAGAGATCTGGGTTCAGATCCTATCTCTATTATGTACACACTAGGTAAGCTTGAGCAAGTTATTTAACCTTTCTAAGCCTTTGTTTCCTGGTCTGTAGAATACTTATTTTGAAAGATTTTGTGACAATTAGGAAAAATACATGCAAAGATCCTAGGATGCTGTCTGTCATATAATACTAGTAAGAGCAAAAATCTGCCCAAGGTTGTTGATAATGGCTGAATTATCTCATCAGTGGGTTCTAAGAGCAACAGGTGCTAATAAGGCGTTCA